GGGGACCTGGTGTCACCTGTTTAATTTAAATATTTTTGCACACACCAATAGCCTCTGTGCAGACACACCTGGATACATGAATACCACAGCCAGTGGGAGCAGACAGTGTCCAAAGGACCAATGGCATGAGCTTCAACATGACCACTGGCCAAATCTGTCAGGAAACATCACTTAAATGGCCACAGGTTATTCCCCCAGCATTGCTGAGAATTAGAATTCAGCCAAGCTCCAAGGAGAAGGTGATCCCATGGGAAATCCTCTGTGGGAGACCATACCAGGCTGTAATTACACCCAGGGAAAGASACACAATAGGGAATCACAATTTGAAGAAGTTTGGGAAAAAAACCCACTCTCATCCTTGCATAGTTTTTTTTTGTTTTAGCATCACCAGGTTGATGTTCAACCACACTCTCACTGTCCAGGAGATTGGGTACATATCCAGACTTGGAGTGAAGAACCACTCAAGCAAAAGTGGAAAGCACCATTCCCAGTCCTTCTGGCTGTGAAAATTACTGGTGGAGATTMCTGGATTCACTACACGTGGCCAAAGCCAGCCCCCAAAGCTGGAAATGCCTTTACAGATCAGACTGAAACAAAATGTTCCTTCAACTGCACTTGGGATCAAGAATTATCCTACACTGAATTAGAGGGAGGACAAGGAATTTTGCTGATGGTTACAGTGCGTGTGGTAGTGATTATAAACACAGYTTTGTGGAAGCTGAAGTTCTAAAAATGAAAATATTAATAAGAATGGCATTTCTGCACTTGCTTTGTAGAATGGTGGCTCAGTGTGTTCTYGATAGRSTGTGGAGARCCCACAGTGGAGCAGAGGAAAAGTGTGAGAGGAARGAAGAAACAGCAGAGGGGAAACCCRRTGTATTGACCATAACCCTCCCCACGCACCCTGCCCTGCTGAGACAGTGCTGGAGTAGTCTGGAATGAATGAATAAAACTGAGCACAGAAGTGGGGGAAGTAGAGGTGTTTAGTATTTCATTTTATTTCTCAGAATCTAAACTATTTCAGTTGGCAATAAATTACATTAGTTTTCCCCAAATCCAGTATGTTTCACTCCTGGTAGAAATTGGCCAACCATCTCTCTGTCTTTATCTCAATCTACAATAGTTTTATTTCTGTTTTTCTGGTTTTCTGCCTCTGCTCTGTCCCACTGTGGGGTGGAAGGTGTGACTGGGAATTTGGTTGTTCACTAAAGCTAACACATCCSAGCAAGAGGGGGAAATGCTGAGGCAAAGCTGAAGTTAGGTAACAGAAAACTAAAAAATCCTTCCTGTGCTGACACACAGCAGCACAGGATTATTTTTGTTGCTAACAGAAGGAATCATATCATGTCTAGAAAGCATAAACCATTTGAAATCAGCATCTTTAATTCACAATACACATGGTACATCTGGAAAACAATTGAGTTACATGGATGAGCTACTCCAGCATTCACAGCTGTCTCAGGAAACCACAAAACTTCAGAATGTTCTCCTTGAAAGCTTGCTTGACTTGCCTGTTCCTGAGCGAGTAGATGTATGGGTTAAGCATCTGAGTTAGCACAGAGAAGAAGAAAGAAAGAATTTTGTCCGAGTCCTGCCCACCTCTCTGCTCTGGGCGGATGTACCTGTAAATACACGTGCTGTAAAACACCATCACCACTATGAGGTGAGCTGAGCAAGTGGAAAATGTCTTCTTCCTACCTGCAGAAGATGGAATGCGCAAGATGGTGACAATAATGCAGCCATAAGACACAGCAGTTACTATTAAAGTACCAGGTAGGATGATAATTAGTATGATAAACATCAGTTCTTCGATGAACCCTGTGTCAGTGCAGGACAGCTGCAGCAACAGGGAAGTGTCACAGTAAAAATGGTTCATGACATTGGGACCACAGAATGGCAGCTGGGCGGTCATAATGGTGGGAGGAAACATCAAGAGAAAACTCAGTGCCCAGCAACTCAGGATCAGCTGCAGGCAAAATCTGCTGTTCATTATCACTGGGTAATGCAAAGGGTGGCAAATGGCAACAAAGCGATCCAAGGACATCACTGCCATGTGGAAAAGCGTGCAGGTCCCCAGGCAATAGAACAACAGCATCTGAAGGAAACAGCCAGGCAGGGAAATTGTCCTCCTCTCTGTCATGAGGCTGTACAGGGTGCTGGGAATGAACGTGGAGGTGAAAGTGATTTCCAAAAGCGCAAAATTCCTGAGGAAGTAGTACATCGGGGTCTGAAGGGAATTGCTCACAAGAGTGATGCTGATGACAGAAATGTTSCCAAGCAGGATCAAGAAGTAGGCAATGGCAAGAAACAGAAAGAGGGTGATCTCCAAATGGCGGCTGTTGGCCAGTCCCAAGAGGACAAATTCCACCACAGTTGTGTGGTTCATTGAGGCATCACTGYTGGCAGAAAAAGAAAATACCTTTTTTTTGGGAACTGCTGGAAAACAATTGAATATGTGTCAGTTTGGCTTTGCTGGCATTACAGGGCAATACAAGCAAAAAACCTCCCGTGAAAGACTGAAGCAGCCACAGTAACAACATATTAAAAACCCTGGTCATGTAAAATGAATCCCAAGTTCCATTTGTWAGGCTGAGTCCTCACTCCAGTCAAAATGATTCCTACAGTTCCCTCCCAGCATATTTGAGAGAGGTGCAGAAGCTGTTACAGACCCTGGGACAAATGTATCTCCAAACGATCTGACAACATTTCCCCTCCAACAAATATGGGAAAAAGCCAAATGCCCAGAGTGAGTATTTTGACTTTATCCCAGAGGAAAGCAATCACACTGCAGACTGACACTGAAGCAGATTAGATTGGTTCAAGGATAYATTACAAGGATACAGATCCCATCTGTGGTTTTTCAGCTGCATTCTCCCTCCTCTTCCTCACAGACACCAGCCATCCTTGGTCTGAAAAGAGACATTTCTTGTTTTGCACTCATGTTTCCCAGGTTTTATCTATTATGCCATTTGGATATTTTAATCTGGTTTTAGATTMATTTTCAGTCTCATTTCAGATATTTCTGAATGACTGAAGCAAACATCAGCACAATGAACTTCCAGGAAAAGCAAGCCCATCTGATGCACCTCATAACCCACATCAAACAGGACACTCAAATTGCCTTCTTCAAATGCCCAACAAAAAGATAGAAATCAGCTAGGATGCTACAACTCTTCTTAGTGCACTGTTCCCATTAAATCATTCCCCTTAATGCCCTTTATCCAGCAAAACACAGGGGTTTATTGGCATAATAATCAAAAAACATCAATACAAAACAACTTCCCTCTCACAAAGCACACAAAATATGGGACATATCTTTCAATACCACAGATGGACAGTTATTATCCAGAAGYTGAGAGTGGTCTTCTAAACCAAGAAACTCCTTCAGTAACAGCTAGAAGCTTTTACTTGAGTTTCAAGACTAAAAGTACAGTTTTCTGAGTCAATGCTCCTTTAAACTTTCCCTATCATCAAAAAACTACACCCAAACTCCAAGAAATGCTCCAGATATTTACCAGTATATCCACAACAATCCAGGATGCTACAGAAAGTATTCTGAGTCTGATTCTGCTTCTTCTCAGCTTAGTTTGACAGCTGATTTTTGGCAAATAGATTTCCTCTCTCTTCAGCCCTTTTATATAATAGTGACAGTGTGCTACAGTCTTGTGTTCCCTCACCGTGTCAAACCTCAGGGACCAATTAGGTATCAAAATCTGGAAATAAACACTTTGTGGGAAAACACTTGTGGAAGAACAGCAAGAATATAATCAAACCATGGAGAAAATGAGATTCCAATCCTTGCCAAAAGCAGGAATCACACAATCAAGGTTGGAAAAATCTCCCAAGATCGTCAAGTCCAACCAAATACCACCATGCCTACTAAAGCAGATTAGAAAGTGCCAGGTTTTTTCTACTCAGGTTTTGAGCTCTTCCAGGAATGGTGACTAGAGTATTCAACCACCTTTGGTACTACTGCTGTTCTTTCTTCACTATTAGAAATCAGGAGACTAACATGGATTCCTAAAGCAGACACCTAAAGTGAGGAGGAAACACACCCTTGGAAGAACTTGTAAGGCAAATTAATTTCTAAGTCAGTGAGRTGTACCCCAGATCCTCATTAAATCAGGACTCACTCATCTCTATCAGCTCATTTGTAGTTGTGGAGAGGAGGAAAGGAGAATCATTATTGAAAATCTCAGTTCTGTAGAATCCAAACTCCACATTTGACAGTAAATGCTTTCTCTCTTCCTGAGGGAAGCAATTCAGAGGTTGGATTTAATTCCTTCACCACACACTAAGAACAAACAGACAAAATTACCAGGAACCATCTAGTACAGGAGGAAAAATAGGGACTCCAAGCTACAGCCCATCTCTTTATTTTAAACATTTTCCTCTAGTTTGCTGATGTTTCCAGGGCTAGTAATGAAACAACAGCATATGATGTTTGGTAAGGAGGAAGTTCTGATGCAAGAGTGGGAACTCCAGGTGTTTCCAGCGGGTTCATGTATCATTCTGCCAGTTGTGAACTCATGGATTGTACCAGGGTTCATCACACTCAGCTCTGCCATRGTTCATTTGAGGTTGGGGTGTGCTACTCTCACTCTATTCCACCCCTTTGCCTTACCATCATCTAGCAAATACATGCAATGTATTTTAACTCTTACAATGTATTTAACTATATTAAAATATAACACAATTATATTTTAACTTGCATCATACATYATCAGCGAGCTTAAGTTTTCACAGGTGTATACACTCAGCACACAAAAATGGTGAAAAAAATTATATGGTGCAAGCTAATCAATGGGGATCAGGCCCTGGAAATCCAAACTTTTTATTCACACTGTAAAAACTTCTTCTATGGAGATAAGACTTGAGAAGCAATTCAAACTTTATGGGTATTTGTCCCTCCTTGCAGTTACACCTACTGCTGGTGTTGTGTCTCACCGAGAGTGAGATGTCACACCACAGATCTCCAGCATCCATCACTCTCAGGAATACTGAACTGTGAATTCTGGAAGGGCTGTGCTCCTGTGACCACTGCTCTCATCTCTTGTTTTAGAGGGGTGAGTTGGGCCTGGTTGGACACACAACCTTCCAGCTCACGTTGTGCCCACTATCCACACTGAGGACATCCCTCATTCTGGAGAGCCAGGAARGCTGRAATGRTTTAAACAGAATGAATGTATAGAGRRAAGTTCTGCTTTGGTTTATTGAARAGTTGTTCCCCCYTCCAGAAACCTAAAACCAGCAGAGTTGTTCTGGCCCGGATGTGCAAGAGAAATAATTTCATCCACACATTGCCCAGGTCGTGCAGAAAACATTATTCTGTCACATATTGCTTTGACTAGATTTTTCACATATACAGTCAAAACCCAGGGAAACTCATTKGTACAATGTYCATTGGTCCMAAGTTWCACAGTGTTTRGTATTTGGTTCCYTAYTGGTTAYTGATCCYTTCAMCTTTGATGTTAATTAGGYTCTCATTYTTCATTYTCTTATTGATCTTTYCCCAGACCAGGTGTCTCTGACCATGCCAGGAGTGATGTTTGGAGTTSATGTTTGTTATCTTTTGTGTATCTTCTGTGCTACTCYCAGTCTGTTGAGATGTTAAACTCGTCAGGCCTGGACTGGTGAAACAGTCCTTTGAAAATGAACTTTACTCATTTTGTTCCCCTTCCATCTGGGCAAAGGTGAACAAAACCCCTGACTAAAGTTATATAAAAATTTTAAACTYGGGATCCTTTTGATGCCTGAAAAAGACCTAGAAATAAAACTGAATAGACCGGTGTCTATGGAGCAGCTATTTGTTTATTGCAGCGCTGGTGTAATGCTGGAGGTGAGGGGGATTTCTCCTTCTAACTCACCTGCCTTTGCTTAGAATTGGCAGGTATTTGTACAGCAAGCATGGTGTAACATGAACATTGTCACTACTCCCACCACCATCCATGGKCACGGAAATACACGATATCACAGATTTACAAGTGCTCATGTGTCATCCTCAATTCGGTGGTCGTGGGGGTCTCCCTCTAATGAGATCCCATCCTCTTCATCACGGTGGACTTTTCACCTTTGTCTTCAGGACATGTGCAGTTGTGATGTTCATGGTTTTTTTCTGGTCCTCCAAGTCTTCATTTTCCATTATTTTGCTGATTGTCCTGTGCCTCTGCAAAGTTCTCATTATGCTCTCTACTGTTCCTCGTTACAGCATCTACCTGTCCACTTTCTTCAGAACTTTTTCTGATTTTTGCTYCTTGGCAATTTTACGTGTCCACATACTAAYCCCGCTGGATTWCATGCAGCAGATACACTTTATGYWGCTAATACCCTATATAAAAACTTAYAAAAATATATAAAAAAGCTATTATTGATAATATATTGAAAGCWATTACATTGTATRTWAATAATATKAAAAAARTTATTACATTCTTATATYGATAATGTATAAAAAGTTATAGAAAGTTTTCTATCACAGGCCTCACAAGCACCTTGTCACTTTGATATAAACAACAGGTTTTACTTTTCAGCAGTAGATTCCGGGCAGTTTTTCCGTCCTTCAGCCGGAGCCGCTGCCCGTCCCTCGGCCGCCTCAGACCCCTGAGGGCTCTGCCCAGGGAAGACGCTCATTGGCCATTGGGAGAAAAGCCTCCCTAATCTGCCTAGCAACAGCCCGCTCTGCGCTCCTATTGGCTCTTAAAAATCACCACGGACTCCAGGCATACCTCAGCGCATGCGCAAACCCATCCAGCAGTCCCCTATCGCTTCCCGCCACGTCGGTGCGCGCATGCGCGGTGCGGTCGGGCGGCGCGGCGCCTGCGCAGTGCGGGGAGCGGCCATGGCGGGCTCGGTGCGCGCTGTCGCTCGGCGGTTCCTGTCCGAGTACGGCGGCGGCACCGCCGGGCGCCTCAAGGCGCTGGACGCCTTCCTGCTCTACGTGCTGCTCACCGGCGCGCTGCAGTTCGGGTACTGCCTCGGCGTCGGCACMTTCCCCTTCAACTCCTTCCTCAGCGGCTTCATCTCGGCCGTCGGCAGCTTCATCCTGGGCGGTCAGTGCCGGGCCCGGCGGCCCCTCACAGCCGTGGCGCGGGGTGGGGTTACCGTGATAGCGCGGGTATGGCGGGTCCCGGCAGCCGGGGATCCCCTCAGCACCCCCCGGCCTTCCCCGAGCTCCCCGTTCTGCTCCCGGTGGGGCCGGAGCGCCTCGGCCGCTCTGCGTTTGCGGGTCCTGTCCTTGCAGCCAAGGGGCTCGGGGAAACCGAGGGAACAGCAGTGACAGATGCACGGTGCTGCTCCCTGGAATACCCCAAACCCGTCCTGTTTCTGTGCAGCCCTGCCCGACACCGGGGCTGASGGGCTGCGAGAGCTGGGGATGGGCAGCCTGGACAGGAGAAGGCTGGGGTGAGAGCTCAGAGCCCCTTCCAGGGCCTAAAGGGGCTCCAGGAGAGCTGGAGAGGGACTGGGGACAAGGGGTAGAGGGAGAGGATGAGGGGGAAGGGCTTCCCACTGCCAGAGAGCAGGGATGGACGGGATATTGGGAAGAAATTCTTCCCTGTGAGGGTGGGAAGGTCCTGGCACAGGGTGCCCAGAGAAGCTGTGGCTGCCCCTGGATCCCTGGAATTGTTCAAGACCTGGTTGGAGCTTGGGGCTTGGAGCAGCCTGGGACAGTGGAAGGTGTCCCTGGGGTTGGAATGAATTGATTTCTAAGGTCTCTTCCAACCCAAATCATTCTGTGTTTCTGACACACCCAGTGCAGGACATAGGAATATCCACGCTCCTGTGTGRGTCTGATCCTGCTCTGAGCCTGTTCCCCTCAGCACTCACTGGGGCACCCTGTGGGGTGTGTGTGGTGCTGTGGGAGCACTGACTCCATGACAAATTCCCTGCCAGTGTCCTGCTCATCTGTAGTAACGATGGAGTAACTTTTCCCTGGTGGAACAGTGACCCACACTGGATTATGCTTCTCACTCCGACTTCCTCCTGTGCTCACTGSTGTCTCACCCTTTCTCTGCTGTGCAGTTTGCCTCCGGATCCAGATCAACCCCCAGAACAAGGGCGAGTTCCAGGGCATTTCACCGGAGCGGGCGTTTGCTGATTTCCTCTTTGCCAACACCATCCTTCATCTCGTCGTCATCAATTTTGTTGGCTGAGCTCTGGAAGAGGCTGCCAGGTACGGATCTGTGGGGTCACAAAGGGGCAGCCACAGGACTGCAGCACTTTTGGGGTTGAATTAGAGTAAGAATGAATCCATGAGTCCCCTGAGCTCCCAGCTGCCTCTTGGCCAAGCATTGTTGAGCTGTTCTCTGAGTTGGCACTGAGTGAGGATTTATGGCTTTATGATTTGAGCATGTCATTTTTGGCTTTTATAACTTAAAAGTTTAACTAGGACTGTTATAGAAACCTACCCACATTCCTCTTTTGTGAGAGAGATTCCCCATTCTTTCAGGAGAAACTTTGGGAGCTGGAAGTCCTGGGCTCTCTGAGGTTTGTCCTTTTCAGAGGCCATGGTGTGGTTGGGGTCCAAGTCTGGAGTTTCTTTGCAGATCTGGGGACAGGGACAGGTGGGGACAGGGAGGTGGAGGACATGCCCTGTTGTTACTGTGGCAAGGGGCACAGGATCACTGGGGCTTGGGGCAATTTCATCCCCTCAGCTTTGCAATAACATTGCTCCTGTTGTCTGCTCTCTTTCCAGGTCTTGCACTGCTCCTGGACTCTGATGGCAGAGCCTGGCACAGGGAAGGGCARTTCCCCACCACGCTCTCACCTTCCTTGGTGGAGGAGGGGGATGCAGGGCTCCAGAATTTCCTCCTCCAGAGTGTCCTGTGGAGGGTCTACAGCCTCATTGTGTGACAGTGATCCTTTCCATCAATAAAACCCTTTGTGATACTGCAGCCTTTTCCATATTGGTGACAAATACAGAGCTTCAGCTGCATCCAAGTTCCCTCTCAGGCATGATTTTACCTCTCTCCCTTCCTTTCTACCCAGCAGGCTTTTTTTCTGTGCCCCAGTTTTGGAGGGAAGAAGGAAATAAATGATCATGGAAACCCATCCACCCTTTTCATCTCCCTCTTTCCTGCCTTTTGATCTTACAGAGACTGTTGCCACTGTGCTCCTGGGCTTCAGAGCTGTGGAAAATTCAAATGAGGCTGTGGTGGGTCATGAAGGGAAGGAAGTGCCCTCCAGCACATCCCCAGGTGTGCCCAGGTTCCCACAGACACTTGGGCCACATCTGGATGTCCCAGCAGGACTGACAGGCTCACTGGGTGAGTGACACAGCCACCCCAGCAGTGTCACTGTCCCTGCACTCTGATRTGCTGATCAGCACAGTGGTGTTGGGATGGGCTGCCAGGCTGTCAGAGT